CGTCCATTCCTGCCTGGGCCTGGCCTGCCAAGAGCTATCACAGCACACCGCCACACAGGGCCCAGCCCCAGCTAGCCCCAAGCTCTCAGTACCCCCCCACCAGCTCCCAGCATCTCCCCCTGGCAGTTGTGTGCACACGTGTGTGCTTGTGTGAGTGCATGTGTGTAACACTCTAAAAGGCTGACGAAACGCTCCAAATTGGCCCCCGGCCTCTGGCTGAGGGCGCCTTGGTGTGTGTGTGTGTGGGGGGTGTCTCCCAGGGACTGGAAGTCGAGGTAGACTGCGATACTGGGCGGGGAGGGCAGGGGAAGGATGATGAGGGGGCATGGCCCACCAGGCCACCTGAGAGGGCAGCCCCATCTCTGCCCATGTGTCTAGGCTCTAGTCCCAGAGGACAGCGTGTGGTGGGGGCGCGGCCGGACCAGTTGTCTGATGAGGCGCATGCAGCCAGGCAGCACCTCCCACAGGTCCTGGATCCCAGCCCAGCCCGACACGCACCCCCTGCGACCCCCAGCAAACAGCTCTGCTCCCCATCGGCACCGAGGGCTCCTCCCTTGCGTGAGGACAGGGCACACGGTCCCCTGGCTGCCCCTCCTGTAGCTCTTGGCCGTCTGCAACTCCGGAGCCCAGGCTATGACCCGAGACAGCGGGGTGGGGGTCCCGGCCATGATGCAGCACCAAACCACGGGAGGGCGGACGGGTGGGTAGACACAGACGGAAACACTGGCCCTCACTCTCACCACCGGTAGCCACAAGGCCACAGCTCCTCACACAGAGAGCCCTGGGACCGCCACTCAAAATGACGTCAAGTGACAATCCACCACATGACACAACCACCACACAGTACAACCGCCACATGACACAACGCCACACAGTCCAACCACCACACAGTCCAACCAAGACACAACCATATCATACAACCACCACACGACACAACGCCACACAGTCCAACCACCACAGTACAACCAAGACACAACTACATACAACCACCACATGACACAACCACCACACAGTACAACCGCCACATGACACAAACGCCAACAGTACAACCACCACACAGTCCAACCAAGACACAACCACATCATACAACCACCACACGACACAACACCACACAGTCCAACCACCACAGTACAACCAAGACACAACCACACGATACTACTGCCACATGATACTACCGCCACACAGTACACCACATGACACAACCACCACACAGTACAACCGCCACATGACACAACGCCACACAGTCCAACCACCACACAGTCCAACCAAGACACA